CTTTTTAATCATGTCTTCCTGGAAGTGACACACATCACTTCCACTCAGTCCATTAGCGAGAACTGGTCCTCTGGTCCCACGTAGATGCAAAGGAAGCTGGGAAATGTAGACTTTGATGGGGTGCTGCCCCCACCAACATCGCCACAGCATGGTCTCAGTCTTGGCATGGCTGACACTTGGGGCCAGATAAATCTTCACCGTGGGGCTGTGCTGTGCCAAGCAGGGTCTCTGGCAGCATCCCCTGCCTCCACTCACTCGATTTTTGGAGGCAAAAATCACTCTCTTGTCCCAGTTGAGGACTCTGTTCCGTACTTAGGAAGGGGCCTGGGAAGCCCCAGATAGTCAGCTTGGCACGTGCTCAGACACCCTCCAGCTCACACACTCCCTGTACATGGCCGAGGACCCTCGTCATGTTCTAAAACATGGGAAAATATTCCGTAAGATCTAGGTTTCTGGCTTTTTTGAAAAATTGAGAAATCAGGCTAGTGGCAGACCCTAGATTTCTGAAGGGCAGAGGTCACTTGGAGCTGAGCGAGGACCCCAGAAGGGGGGTGGTTCCCATGTGCCACAGTCCCCAGCATGCCCTGTCTCCTGACATAAGCCCCTTCAGCACGTGTTACCTGTCTGATCCCGGTGAAGACTGAGCTTGTGGCCCCTGCCTTATAGAGTGCCTTGTGAGGGGTTGGGGGACAGACAGAGGACAAGCCCCAGGCTCTGTCTTCAAGCTTGTATCTCATCACAGAGACTTCCAGATACCACTTCAGTGTGGAGAGATGAGGAGCTATAGGGGCTGGAAGGAGGGCCCCAAGCAGCTTGGGTCACAAGGGTACAGAGGGCTGTGAATAAGCTGAGGCTTAACATGGGGAGGAGGACCCAGGGCGTGGGGAAGAGGAATTCTGGCAGGAAACGTATGTGAAGAACCTGGGGGTTGACCTGAAGAACTGGTGAGCTACAGAAGGCTCTGGAGCTGAGGGAATATGCAGGATTTGTGAAAGACTGTGCTGTCAGTTTCAAGGATACTTGTAGAACTGGGTGCCCAGGGAGCAGCTTGTAGGCTGCTGTAATAGTCCAGGGAGGAAGAGCTGGGGACATGGACATGGAGAAGGGAATAAGTCCCAAATACAGCCCCAGGAGCCAGCTCCTGCTTGTTAAGAAGGAAACCAGGCCGGCAGGTGAATGGATAGAGTGTCAGGAAAGTGAATGCTGAGATGGAGAGGAGACTACAGGATGCCTACCATGTGCCCCATGTCCTGTTAAATGCCAAAGACTTGGCAGTGAACTTGTCACCTTGGGGGTACATTTTCCACACACCCTCATCATCTTGTGAGGTGGGCGGTATCATGCCCCATTTCATAGATCGGAAAGTTGAGGTTCTGTGAGGCAGGGTGACCTGCTCCAGGGGCTGGGGCATTAAGTCCACTTGCTTCCCAGTCCATGCTCTCTCCCTTGTCTCTGGGATGCTAATCTCTCCAAGGAAAACAACCCCAGGTCCATCAGCCGCAGCACCCTGGGCTCCCTCAGCCCCCCAGAAGCCCAGAAGCCAAGGTGGGGGGTAAGACAGCAGCAGCGTTTATAATTAGCCTCTGGCTACACTGGAGACCTCCCACCAGGATCTAGCCCCAGCTATCTGGGAGGTGAGGGGGAGATTAAGTTCTCAAAAGAGGATTTGGGCTCTCACGTTCTTGGGTGGCTTCTACTGGGCCTCATCAGGACTCTGCCCTGATCATGGCGCCAGGCCATTTTCTGGCTCCTCCGCCGTCTGGGCACACTTTGGATTTGGGGACAGGGTGGGCACATATGCCTCACCAGCTAAGTGGGGGCAGCCTGGGCTGGGTCCCCAGTCCCACCTTCCTCCTCCCTGTTGGAACCAAGGCTTAGAATCCTCAAGGTGGTAAGAACATCACTGCAGGCACAACGGCAGACGTGCCTATGGTGTTCCCCGAGTACAGGCACTGTTCCTATGTGCCTCACGCCACACGTTAACTCATCTTCCCCTCAACCACACTCGGGCAGGTACTGTCATTATCCCCATTTTACAGATGAAGAAACAGAAGCAGAAAGAAATCTGGTAACTTCTCAGAAGTCATGCCAAGAACAAGGGCTGCAACCAGGACTCAAACCAAGCAGGATGGCTCCCCGTGCACGACATTAATCATGCCATCGTGCTCTCTGGCGTCGGGCAGGGCCAGACCTCAGGCCAGGCTTTCCCCTGATGGTACCTCAGGGCAGTTGCTTCTCTTGGAGCCTCAGTTTCTCCTACTGTGATGAGCAGGAGGGCTCATGTCTGTGGGTGGGTCACTAACCACCTCCGGTCATGGAGTCAGGGCCCTCTCTGGTCACGGCAACCCCTTGGTGGAGTCCACTGGCTTATGTATGGACGCTTGATCTCGATCCTCCATGTGCTGTAGTGGGGAGGGTTTCCCAGCCGTGAGTGGGGAGGAGCAAAAAGGAGGGAAGAGGAAGGTGACTCGGCACAAGTTGGGGCGGGGGTAGTGGCAGCTTGGGATCATGTCCTCTTGGCCTTTAAACGGGGGTGGACCTCAAGTGGCTCCCAGCATCAGAAATCACTTTCCTGCATTGAGCTGGTTGGAGAAAAATGGCAGTGATGGGGCTGAGCCCAAGGACAGCAAGCTGGGCCTGGGGAGAGGAGGGTCTGGCGGCAGGGTCTAGTGGGGTGTGAGGTTTGATCATTTATCCTTTTTGCCTCCCAGAGCCCTGGGCCAAGGCCTGAGCAGCTGCTCCCTGTTCTCAGGGCACAAGCAGGTGCTATCCTGACGCGCCCATCCTTGGGATGAGTTTTGGTGCCAGATGGACCCTTTGTCTGCCCTGAGCCCTCTTCTCTCAAGGGTGTCTCCTGGGACACAGGCTTCTTTCCACAGACTCCCAGATGAAGCTGAGGCTTGAACAGGCTTCTACCATCCAGAGAAGGAAGGCAGCCCAGAAAGGGTCAGACACTGAATTGAAGTCACACAGAATGGACAGAGGAGCCTAGATTCAACCTCCAGCAAAGGGTTCCCCTGGCCTCCTGGCCCTGGCTCAGCTGTGCCTTGGGACCTTGGTTGCTGGTGGGAAGGAGGGACTCACAGGTGCCCAGTGCCTGTCTCACTCTGTCCCGAACCCTGTCTTCCCCCACCATCTAACAACAATGGCACTGGCCCATATTATATATAAGAAAACCAAGTTCCAGAGAGTGACAGGGGTGCACTGCTCCAGCTATGACAGAGCAGGGCTGCCTGAGGAGGTGGCATTTGAATTGAGACCCAGCTAGTAAGATAGCAACTGTACAAAGACCTGGAGGGAAGATTGTTCCAAGTAGGGAATAAAGCAAGTGCAAAGCCCCTGGGGCAGGAATGAGGGGTAGAAAGAACAGAGGGACAGATGTGGGATGGGGTAGGAAGGACACGCGGGAGCTGCAGTACACTGTGCACATAGGAGCCTGCGTTTTCTTCTGGAAGCGGAGGGGAAGCTGCTGGAGGGTTAGAAGGAGGGGAGAGATGTGAAGGGCTTGTGATCTTTGGAAAGATCACTCTGGCTGCTGGGCAGGGGAGGCCCCGGGAGTGCCAGGAGCAGATGACGAAGTACAGTCTGGAAGCCTTTCTGCTGTCCTGGTTGGAGGTAGTGGCAGCCTGGAGCAGGCTGTGGTGGTGGTGGCGGGAAGAAGCTGAACCCCAGATGTGCTGGGAGTTAGTGCCAGCAGGGCTCGCTGGTGGACTGCACGCAGGGAGTGGAGGAAACGGCAGAATTGGGCTGAGCACCTGGGTAGATGGAGGTGCCACTATGGCTATGGGGGACCAGATTTGGGGAGAAAGTTGAGAGTTGGGTCATGTTCAACTGGAGATGCCCTCTGGTCTTCAGAGTGGAGATGTGGGGTAGGGCATCCAGGAAGAAACAGAGTCTGGAGTTCAGCAGAGGAGTCCAGGCTGGAGACGAGGGTTGGGATGACATTTAAAGCTATGGGGGAGTTGGGTGTTGGACGACACGTTTCAAAGATGCCACCCAAGGGAAAAACCGGTTCTGGAAAAGGGAAAGGGGGAGCAGCCTCTGGAGGTGACAATTCTGACAAGAAGGCTCAGGGTCCCAAAGGTGGTGGCAATGCAGTAAAGGTCAGACACATTCTATGTGAAAAACAGGGCAAAATCGTGGAAGCCATGGAAAAGTTAAAGTCTGGAATGAGATTCAGTGAAGTGGCTGCACAATATAGTGAAGATAAAGCCAGGCAAGGGGGGCACTTGGGTTGGATGACCAGAGGGTCCATGGTTGGACATTTTCAAGAAGCAGCATTTGCCTTGCCTGTAAGTGGGATGGATAAACCTGTGTTTACAGACCCATCAGTTAAGATAAAATTTGGATATCATATTATTATGATTGAAGGGAGAAAATAAATCATATGAAAGACTGAAAAAAAAAAGCTATGGGGCAGAGACAGTGAGAGACTTGCCCAAGGTCACAGACAGCCGGTGGCCAGGATTTGAACTGGGATCTATTAGACTCATTTCCACAGCAGCAAGCCTTCACCTCTGAGAACTGGGCACAGAGAAGGCAAGGAAGGGGTAGGACAGGAGAAGGCTCTGAGAAGGAATTTGGGAACAACTGAGATCCTTCCAGTCTGGGCTGCCCATGCCTCCACCTGCAGCCTGACCAGCTGGAGGAGTCCTCATTAAGCATGAAGTCCTGTCCCTTGCCCATTGTACAGATGGAGAAACTGAGGTCCAGATGAGGGTAGGGCTAGGGTCCAGGTCTCCTGCCTGCCAACCATAACTTTTCCACTAGCCTCTAAGGTGGGCTCCTGTCTGCACCAGCTCATGGTTGGGTTGAAACCATCCAACGGTGACATTCCTGAAGGGGTGTGTCTTTCTTAAGGTCCTCAGATGGAGCTAGGGCCTGAGGTCTTCCATCTTGGCCAACCTACAAGTGCATGCTTGCCCGATGCCTGCCACTGCCCTTTGTCTGACCCATCTCAAGACTTTAGGACCCCTCTGGGTCTCTGGCAGGGTGGCCTTGATCCTGGCTCTGGTCATGGTTCCTGCCCTGTGGCCAGGACCAAGCCCCTCTGGCCCCTGCCCAGACCACCCAGCGCCAGGGCTTGGTGGAGCCCGGTGGGGCTGGCGGGTAGTGCTCCGAGGCTGGCCAGCCGCGGTCTGGCTCCGCCTGAGAGGCTGTGGCCTGGGAACCACAGGGCCTCCCGCTACCTCGGGGAAGCGGCTGGGATTTCCAGAACAAACAGGGAAACCACAGGTTCCCCCGCCCGAAGAGGGGAGCTGCCTCTGGCCTCACTCACTGACACCCTACTCCTTAGGCTGGGCTCCCCACTTCTGGGTGGACTGAATGGGGGACCAGTGATTAGTCCAATAGTCCCTACCTCCCAGAGCTGTGGAAAGATGACACAAAGTCCCCTGGAGGGAATTAGCCCTGCACGAAGCAGGTCCTTATGAGACATCAGTCCTGGACCCATCCCTTGGTGGGAACCAGAACAATCCTTGTGGGGGGGGGGTCCTGGGCCTGGCAGGGCAGGCCAGGACAACCTCGCTGATTCAGACCAGCTGGGGGATGGGGCACATGTGACTCCACTAAAAGCCGCAATTAGAGCCCAATTTAAAGAAACGCTGTGTTAGTTCTTCCCCAGGCAGATGTGATTATAGGCTCAGAGTTAAACCGTTACTAACAGGATGACACAAGGAGAGGCCCCTTCCAGGGCATGGTGGGACTCTGGCCCAGCTCCTGGCTCCACAGCTGGGAAACCAAGGCCTGGATCTGGAGTGGCGGGCTCCAGGTCACTCTGCAGGTGAGGAGGGTGAGGCCCAAAGCTCCTTCCCCACCACTTACTTTCGCTAAAGGCTCTGGTGCTGCACCAGAAGCCAAAGGCACCCTGAAGGAGCCAGCATCCCTTGGAAGGGAGGACTTGGAGCTGAGGTAGCTAAAGCCCCTAGAGGAAGTGGCCTCAGCATGACACCGGCCATGGAGCTGGCCAGCTGCTCCCTGCCCAACCCACAGGGGCCATGAAGTGATAATAATAATAATACTAATGATGATGACAGCAGCGGCCAGTGTGGGCCAACCATCACAGGAGTCCTTACAGCAACCCTCCTAGGGGGCTGCTAGTGTTGTCCTTACTATAGGGATGGGGAAACTGAGGCCATAGATGGGTGAATGCCTTGCCCAAGGTTACATTGGGAGCCAGAGGCATGTTGGCACCGGAAAAGGTGTGCCTCTATTGGGACTGAACCAGCTGCTGAGATCCATTACTGCAAGGCCTGGGTGGGGGACACAGGGGTCATCTCAGTGAATGGTGATCAGTGAGTCAGCAAGTGAATGAATGAACGAATGAATGAAAGGCCTATCTAAGGGACTCTGTCCTGGGCAAAGCAGGAAAGGGCCATAGTCCTCTCTAGTTGCCTTCCTCCATCAGACTGGAATGTCTGTGATGCTGCCATCAGACTGGTCCATGAAATCCACTATTCTGGAGAAATCTCTCCCCTCACTCTTAAAGCCCCCCTACGTAGGGACATCCAGTTAAACTTGATTCGCATATAAACAAAGAATAATATTTTAGTGTATGTCCCAAATATTTCATGAGGTATATTTAAACTAAAAATTCTTCCTTGTTTATCTGAAATTCAAATTTAATTGGGCACCGTGGGTTTCTATTTGCTAAATCTGGCAACCCTACCCCTGGAGCTCATTCCTCCCACTGGCACCTGGCCTGGTCAGATGGCTCAGGTCGTGTCTGGACATGGTCCCTGACTGCGGTCCCTGACCGCCCAGTGTTAGCTCCTGTCAGCCCCCAAGACTGCTGCCCCCCTGGGAGCCCCACCTGCAACCCAGTGGCCAGGTGGGCACTGGCGCCCAGCACCTGAGTGCACAGCACAGCTTATGGACTGGCAGGAATGCTGTGTCTGCTCAATGGACTGAGAGAGAGGAACAGAGCTCCAGCTGCAGAGGGAACCACGAGCATCAGACACAGAGGCAGAGGCCAGGTGCGGTGGCTCATGCCAGTAATCCCAGTACTCTGGGAAGCCAAAAGGGGCAGATTGAGCTCAGGAGTTTGAGACGAGCCTGAGCAAGAACAAGACCCTGTCTCTACTAAAAATAGGAAAACTGAGGCAAGAGGATTGCTCAAGTCCAAGCATTTGAGGTTGTTGTGAACTATGATGCCACAGCACTCTACCCAGGGCGACAGTCTTACTCTGCCGACAAACAAACAAAACCAGAGGCAAAGACACGGGGATGAAGAACCGGACACAGGGACTGAGCAGTTGGAAAGAGAAGGGGAGAGAGCTAGGATGGGCAGAGACAAACAGCCTAAAGCCCCTTGCCCAGAGCTGGTTTGGGACACCAGTGTAGTGGTGACAAGGTCTTGGAAGCACACTGGGGTTCTCCTGCATGGAGTGGGCTGGATGGGTGGCTGGGCCCCTGAGCCCCAACCCTGAGTCCCAGGCTACATGGCTCTGAGAGGCAGCTGGGGGTCCCTAGTGCTGGTGAATAGGCAGAGGTCCATTCAGAGCCCACTCCAACCCCTTTACTCTCCCCTCACCCTGCCTCCCATGGGCAAACACAGGGACATTCATGGCTTCCCAGAAGGGCCTATGGGGCAGCCAGAGTGGCTTTAAAATTAGCCTCACTAACCAGATCTGGTTATTTCAGGAGGCTCCGTCCTAGGCTGTCCCCTTGGCAGGGCAGAAGTAGGGAAGGAGGGAGGGACCTCCACATTCCAGGGTCCCTGGCTGAGCACCCCTGTGGCCTGAGCAGCAGAGAACGTCCAGGTCCTGGTCCCCTGGCACCAGGCCAGCCTGGGCCTGCGGCTGTCTCTTTGGCAAAATTGCCTCAGGGTTGGCCATGGATGTCCAGGGACACCCCAGCTGGGGGAAGGGGAGGACTTTTCATATTGGGCACCGTAAGTTCTGTGCCCAGCACCGTGCAAGGTACCTCAGAGCCCATGGCAGCCTCTTCACAGCAGTATGTAGGGGCCCTACTCTTACTTTACAGCTGAGGAAACTGAGACACGGAGAGCCAGGGAGGCCCCCCTGCAAGGTAGGGGACATGAGGGATGTCTCATCAGCAGGCACCCAGTCTCTTTGCGGGAGGCCTCTTTCCTCCTGTGTCTGGAGAAACCTCTGGCTGCTATTTCCACCACCAGAGTTATTTCTAAGCAGAGTCCAGCGCTTCCCGGAGCCTGGTGCCCCCCGCCCAAGGCCTAATTCCAGCCTCGGGTCAGAGTGTCCCGGCTCGCCCTCCCTACCTCAGAACCCAGAGAGAGCACAGAGCTGGCATGGGCACAAGAGAAACAGCGCTGGATACTTTGATCACGGAGGCCGGATTCGTCCTCAGCCTCCCCTGGCCCCATCTTGGAGCCAGAGGGGTGGGGCAGGGTGGGGCTCTGGGCTAAAACCCAGCCCTCCCCCTCCCCCCCACACACCTGGCACAAGCTGGGCAGGGAAGGGACAAAGGCAATTCTTGCCCATAGAGTGGCCCACATGCCTGTGCCATGGCAGCCCCAGCTACTCTGCCTCAGCTCTGGGCCAGAGTGGGGGGAGGGGAATGCATTGCTAGTTAAAGGGAGACAAGCATGGGAGAGTTCGTTATGAGGGGTCGTCACCCCAGTAAAGCTTCATGTCCAGATTCCTGTACTGCAACCAGCCTCAAGCAGGGCGTCATCCCCCCACTCAGTTGACCCCATGTCCTCTGCAAGTTTATTAATATAATCATTATTAATGGCTGATTCCTCTTCTTACTGAGTGTGCTAGGGCTGCACCAAGAATTTGGTAATCCTCACACCAAGGTGCCAGCCAGGTTAGGACTATTAGCATCCCTACTTACTACACAGATAGGGAAACTGAGGCCCAGAGAGCCAAAATGACATGGCCAAGATCACAGGGCCAGGCGGTGAACAACTCAGAGCTGACTCCAAAGAAGCTCTTAACCTTGGTGCTGAATGGTGGCTTCTACCCCTCTGGAGGTGGCATAGGAAGAGAGAAGACAGAGGCCCAGGCTGAGACAACTGCAGGGCCTGAAGGGTTGAGCAGGGGAGCACGATGGAGTTGGCAGGGGACCCACTGAGCCCAGGCAGCCTAGAGCCAAACCCCAGTGGGTGGGGCCAGGGTTTAGGTATGAGGCGCAGCCTCCATGTGAGGATCATAGGCATCCCCTGTCTGGAAAAGCATGGTAAGGTCCCCAGGGTGCAGGTCCCCAAGGTCCCCAGGCTGCCCTCAGCATCATCCTTGGGAAGGGACTGGGGGCTGGTGGGGGTGCTGCTGTCAGGAACATGTCTAAGCCCACTAGGGTCCAAGCTGGTGCCTGCTCCCAAGCCCAATGTCCTCCAACCCACTCCCCAAATTTGTTCCCCCTGTGAGGTCCCAACCTAGAGGACAGCCCCTCACTCCCCTGACACCCAGGCTGCAAACAGAGCCTTGGGACTATTCCTGCGGCCCCACATCGTATTGGGCCTTCATCCACTCACACATGCCTCCCAACACCTAGGCCTTCCCAGTGTCCTCCTGGCCAGCCTCTGTCCCCCAACGGCCCTCTGACCCTCTCCTCCCTCCACTGACACCATCCCTACCAGCAACTGCCCTTCCACCTATGGATCCCCACTGCCCCGGCATAAAGCCCCAGAGCCCAGCATCTCTGGCCTCTTCCTGTCTCCCTGTCCCCTCCATTGTCACCTTCCTGCTGTTGGGTACTGTTTGCTACCTTCCCAGTTGCAGGAGTGCTCTGCCCACACACTTCTGCATGTGCAGTTCCCTCCCATGGAGTCATTCGCCCTAGGCCTCCCCATAAACTGGGAGCAGCCTGGAAACTGCTCCAGGAACTCTTCCCCACACTTCCCTCCCCTAGGCCCTGTTCCTGCCCCTCTCCCTTGCCCTTTACTCTGTCCTGCACTGTGAGCTCCTCTGGCTAGCCAGACTCATTTCATCTTCCCCACCCCCCATCGGGCCTAATAAGTGATCCCTTGGCACCCCCTAGTGGCCATATAGGAGGATTCACTGAATATGCCAAAGAAGAGAAGGAAGAGATCATTAAGTGAGCACCTACTGTGTGCTAGGTGTTTGATAGGTACCAGCTCACTGTATCTTCATAACAAACCCTTGGGAGGAGTGCTATTGCACCTACTTTACAGAAGTGAAAACTGAGGCTCAGAGAAGCCAATAAGTTTCTCAGCACCACCCAGCTAATAAGAGGGTGCTAGGACTCAAACCTAGGTCTTTCTGACTCCACAGTCCTGTTGCTTCCCCCTACCCGCTGTGGGGAAGGAGAATGGGGTAGACCATGCCATGGCCACTGGTCACAGAACTTGCTCTCAGAATTCTGGCAGGGACAGGCTTGTCCCCTGCCACCTTCGCACCACTGGGCACCGGTGTGGGGTCAATCTAGGCAGGGTTCACAGAAATCCAGGCCCAACTCTCAGTACAATAGTGATAAATAGAATTTATTTTGTACAACTGTTACCGACATACACATGGCCACAGGGGCTTCCAAAACTGGTGTTAGGGCCAGGTTGGCCTTTGGCATGGTGCCTAAAAAGTGTGGACAGATACACACAAGGACAGGGATTCCCAGAAGCCATGCCTGGCTTCCCCCTCCATGGCACTGGTGGGAGAAGAGGCAAGGCCTGTGACTCTACGCCAGCTGAGACCCTCAGCTTGGAGTGCCCAGGAACATGGGGTGACAAGGGTTAAGCTGGGTGCTGGCCAAGGAGCCAGGTAGGTCCCTATTCCCCAAGGGGTCACTTGTCTGTCACATGTAGGCAGTGGACAGGGCATTGGCAGATCTGTGGTAGAGCTTGAGGGCCTGGTAGAGGCAACGGGTATAGCCAGCTCCCTGTGCCCCTCAGCCCACCCAGGGCCCCAGGGACCTCAAAAAGCAGGGTAGGGTGATGGGAGGTCCCTGGGAGGATAATCCCCTCTTCTGGGACAGGGCATGGAATCACAGTCTTCAGTGACCTCTGACATATTCTTGTCCATTTATAGCAGAGGTGTCCAGAGAGGCAGAGTGACTTTCTTAGAGTCTCACAGCAGAATCCAAATCAGAAGCCAGGATACTCATGACTCCCCGCCCAGTGCTCACTCCCCCATACTTCATACGCTGCTGCCTCCATGGCAGGCTCTGTGCACTGAGCTTTCTCAATTCCTTTCTCCCACCCTGCTGCCTGAGTCCAGAAGGACACTCAAGGGTCATGAAGAACCAGGGTGGGGGAAAGCTAGGCCTGCAGGCCTATTGCAACTGACCAATCCCTGCCCCAGCCCAGCCCCCCAGCCTGGTGGGTGGGGACGATGCCAGCAGCTTCCCCAATCTCAGGTCTGGATGGCTCTGCCCTGCAGAGACAGCCCAGATGGGTGGGCCAAGGGGAGGTCAGGGAGGCAGGGGGCAGCCTGTGGGTTGGTATTGGCCTTGGGAGAAGAGGTCTCGTCTGCCTGGACTTGACACAGCATCTTCACCTTATGCTTCTGTGGCCTCATCTGCAGAGTGACAGGACACAGACACCATGATTGAGGGTGACAGAAACCTGTAGGGAGGGGCCCATTCTTGGAGCTCCAGGCTCTAAGTCTTTCCATCCTACTGGGAACCCCTTAAACCTTTCCCTAGCCAGCAAGCACCAAACCCTGGAGAGAGGTGCCAATGCCCCTGTGTGAACATTAAGTGAACATTAAGGCTCAACTGGTATGTTTCTCAATACCACCCACCTCCCACCAAACCCTTCCACTGACTCATGGCAGAGGTCATGTAGCACTTACTACTCTCACTGCCTAGACAGTGGCCATGACCTGCCCAAATCATCTAGCAACTAAATGGCACAAGACTCAAACCTAGGCACAGAGCTCTCACCCCAAATAGGGGACAGAGGGACAGGGAGGAGTCAGCCCAACCTCCACCCAGTCCCACCTCTCCCACCACATGAGCTAAGGGGATGGGTCTGACCTGCTCAGTGTCACCTTCAGAGGGGGCAGCCTGGCTAACAGCCCTGCAAAGACAGACCATGGTGGTGAGGTAGGTGTCGGGACAGATGGAGACGTGGGCCAGGAGACACAGGTGAGAGGTCATGGGCTGTGCCCAGACTGGACGAGCTCCCCCTCCTGGTCCAGCCTCTATCCCTGTCTCCCCTCCCATGAGGGGCCTCCCAGGCCAGCCCCCAGGTGGTGACACGTACCAGCTGGGGCATGTGCTGCTCAGACGCTTCCAGCTGGATCTTGATCTCGGGACACGCAGGGTCCCCCGACTTGCCGGCGTCTGGGTGGGGTGACCGAGAGGGGCCTGGGGAGGGGGGCAGGAGGGAGCCACCTCACTGGCCACGGGGAAGCACCAGGGAGACGGGGGCATGGGTGGACAGTTGGCACCAGTGCTCCCTAACCCTGCCAAGTCCCCCCTCAGGGAGCCCCACTCTTAATTCCCTTCCTTGTCACTTTCATTATCCTCAGAGACCCTTTTCCAGAAACCACTAGCCCTACAATGTGCCCCACAACCCTAGGCTGGACAATCACCTGTTCACTGCCCCCCACACCCTGGACAGGTACAATCACATCACATACCCACCACGTAGTCCCACTGCTTGTGCCCAACCCTGTCCCCTTCCTGCCCCAGGAGCAGCCCTTCTGGCAGGGAAGCTGCCCTGGTCTGGTACCTGGGGAGCTGCCGCCACTTGTGGTGCTGACACTGTCCTCCAACCATGTGCTATAGATGAAGGAGTCCCGCTTGTGGGGTGTTCCTGAGGACGAGATGCTCTCCTAGGGATGAGGGAGGTGGGGAGAGCTCAGCCATGGCACTGGCTGCCCCCAACCTGCACCCTCGCTGCACTCCACAAGCCCCCACTCTCAGCCCCTGCAAGGAGGATGGAGCAGGGAGACCACAGGAGGGCAGAGTGGGGGTAGGCTCAGGCCCAGGTACACACCACCCCCTCCCACTCATTCACTCAACAAACATTCACTAATATTGTCTGGGGCCGAGCCACTGGGATAAATCAGGCCTAGTCCCTGCCTTTGGGATCCCATACTCCAGGAGGCAAGACAGGCTAAGAGAAGACCCTGAGCCAAGCAGGGCCTGGCAAGGACTGGTGCCCACTAAAGGTTGCTGAATGGAGAATGACAGGAGTGCTAAGGCACTCAGGCACCGTGAGAGCATAAAGGGTGGTTCCTAACCTACCCTGGGCTGGAAAAATCAAAAAGGCTTTCAGGAGGAGGTGTCTGAGACTGAGTTGAGGAGGATTAGTAGGAGTGAGCCTGGCAAGGAGGGAAGGAAAAGCAGGAAGAGTGTTCCAGAGGAAATGGCCTGTGCAAAGCCCCAGAGGTGGAGTAGGCTTGGGAAATCTGGGGGGCTGCAAAGGAGCACAGAATATCGGAAGTGGGGAGAGATGAGACGGGGTGTGGCCAAATCTCCAACAATCCCGGGGACCCAGTTTCCTGTGGAGAGCACTGGAAGGGAGCATTAGTCTGTACTGCTTTGGGGGCTGGGTCCCCTGATCATATCTCAGCCACACGCAGGCTTACATTTCTACCCAGACCATCTCCAGAGACCAGAGAGTCCCCCTTCAGACTCCTGTGGAGCACTTGATCCCCTGGACCCCTCACCAGGCCTGTGTCCTCCCCATCCACGCCTTCTGTCTCCTCCACCACGCTGGCGAAGCTGCTGGCACTGGATGAGGAGCGGGAGAAGTCCTTCAGCGCTTCTGCTCTCTGGGCTGCTGTCTCCACTCTGCCAGAGACAGTGCTCCATTAGCCTGCGCCCACCCTGAGCATCCCCTGGGCCACTCCCTTGCCCGCCCCCTAGCCTGTAGCCAACCGAGCACTTCTATGACCCCAATTCCAGTTCCTTAGACCTCTGAGCCTCCCCAGTACCCCATGCAGCCTCCCCTCAGCCCCACTGTCCTTCCTAACTCATGATCTGACCCTGCTCCTTCTCTGCTCTAAACTCTCTCATGGCTCCCCACTATCCACAGTTGAATTCCCTTGGCTTACCGTAACAGTAACGATTAACGATACTAGTATCACTGAGTGTGCATGTACTGCTGTGTACCTGGTACTGTTCCGAGTGCCTTCACCTGTGTTACCTCATCACTATCATGATTAGACCCACCATCCCTCAGGTGAGGAGACCCAGAGGCACAGGCAGGTAGGCACACAGCCCAGGGCACTCAGCCACAAGTCCAGGCAACACCACAGTCTCCTCTCTCACCTCACTCAGTACTTCTACGCTCAGGGCCTGATGTCTCTAGCCTGGAGTCTTAGCCCTTCTCTCAGATCCCAAAAGGCAAATTCATTTTTCAAAAATCAGCCAAGGACTCTAGTTCCGGGAGGCCTTCCTAGAATCCTCCTCCCAAGGTGGACATGACCCTCGCTACTGCAGGCCTTGTGCCTCCCTGTCCCCCTTTCCTGACTCCATTCAACTGCCTGCCTCTGCAGCAGAGTCCAGCAGCACCAAGGTGGTCCTCAGCTCTGTGCCTGTCCCGCCTCCAGCTCCTCCTCCACAAAACAACCACAGTAAGCTTTTGAAAGCATTGCTCTCTTAATTAAAATCTTCTGAGAGTTCCTTGTCACATTTAGGATAAAATTCAACCTCTTATACAGTCTCCAAACCCATAAGCTAGCGCCTGCTCAGCTCCTGACCTCACTCCTACCATCACCCAGCACAATGTCACAATGTCTGGCCCCTCACTCACTCGGCTCCAACTGCACACCACCCTTCTTTCAATCCCTCAAGTCTACCTCAAGGCTTTTGGACTTGTGCTCCTTCTGGCACCCTCTTCTCTCTGCCATGCCTATCAATTCACCTGTTACCCCCTTAGAGATAGAGATGTCTTTTCTGAAGGCTCATCTAAAACATCACCAACCCCAGGCCTTCATTGCTTCCCTGTCCCCAGCTTTGGTTTCCTCCAATTATCACAATCTGGAAATGGCTTATAAAGTTACACTGGACCTGCAGCTGTGAGGCAGGGACCAACCAGAGAGGCACAGTGCACTGCTATATCCCAGAGTGTGGCAAACACAAAGTGCTTAGTGGGTGTGGGTTAAGGAAGAACCGAGAGTGCCCAGGTCTCCCTGATACCTTGATGAGGCTCCTGGGCATTCCTGGGTGAGGGGGTATGGAAAAGATAAGTCTATCACTCCCAAGACCCTGAGCCCTGTGTGGCCCAAACCCCAACCTGTTTTTGGTCGTGGGCATCTCTGGGGAGCTCTGAGTGGATGAGTTCTCTGATTTGGGCTCCTGTGAGACGTGCCCGCTGTCTGGGGTCTTCTGGCCAGCTGGAGGGCTCTCCCTGCAGGGCACACAGGGGCAGTGAGGAGATTTAGCACTGGGCCTGGCATCCGGGTAGAATGAGGCCCAGGTGGGGAGGTCATGACACCTCCTGCCTCCAACCCACACATGCATCCTCAGAGGCCAACCCCAGAGCAGTCCTGTAGGCTCCCTGGCTTGCCTGGCCAATGATGGGGGCAGGTTTTGATGGAGGTTCCCTCCCGGTTATGATAAGGAACCTGCTCAGGGATGCACAGCTAGGACATGGTGGTGCCAAGACCGAAACCCAGGACCTCAGCATGCTGTCTCCTCACAGCAGTGAGGACAGTGCCCAGGTTACTTCCTGAGCACTCCCAGGGCACCTGACTCTGCTTCACAGAGCCCTTGAGGCAGCCCCATGTTGTCAGCTGTGTTCTTACCCTATTCAGATTGGGACAGTGAGGCTCAGAGAAGTATAACGGCTTGCCCAAAGACACACAGATCCAGAAAGGTGGAGACAGTATTTATACCCAGGAACTATTCTCTGCTCACCCTGCTGCCTACACACCACACACACGCACTACCCCCCAGCCCACTCTGCAGCCTGCCTGGACACCAGCACCTGGACCTTCCTACAGATGCTGGGGCAGTGGAAGGAGTACAGGTGCTGGCTCTGAACAGACCAGGGCTCAAGTCCAAGTCCTACCTCAAATCACACCAGCCCTGTGACCCGGGCAAGCCCCTGACCCCTGTGACCTATAGCTTCTTGATCTGTAAGGTGCAGATCCTCAGGGAGCCAGTGGAACTGGGAAAGAGCTTTCCCTTAGCTAGTGCTGGCCCTGGTGCCTGACAAGCAGCAGGGTCTTGGCGACACTGCTGTCACTGTGGCAGACAGAGGCAGAGGATGGGCAGGGGTCAGGGAAGGGGCTGGAGGGCAGCAGGGTGCTGCCACCCCACTCCACTCACCTTTTCTCCTGTACCTCCTGAATGTTCTCAATGCCAATGGCGCTGCTGCGGCGGGAGCCAAATGGGCCAGACTTCTTCCTCGTGGGGCTCTTCCCGGGGACAATTAATGACTGTAGGGAGAGGCCCCAACTCAGTGCTATGTGCCCTGGGAGCCCCATGCCCCCCACACCCTCCTTGGGGACCCTGCTGCCCAGGCCCTGAAGCAGAGGTGACCAGCAAGAAAGAAGAAGAGAAAATGTCCATCTCCAGAGACAGCCCCCACCCAGCGAGATCACAGGGCACACCTGACCCCAGGATCCAGGCCCAGGAGAACAGCAGGGCCCGAGGGGGCTGGGGCAGCCACTCTGGGCTGGGCTGGGTAGAGGCCGAGTCCTCAGAATAGAGGCCCCCACCATGGGGTTTCAAGGGGCCTATAGCCTGAAGGTGGGTGGTGAAGCAACTCAAGCCCCTGCCCCAGGCCAGGCCTGCCCTTCCCCAGAACCTCCACACTGACTGGGGGAAGCTCTGGCCCAGCAGCTGAAAGATCCCCCTACTTTCCATACACACTGCAGTAGGATGCCCCAGGCGCCAGAAGCACGCCCCCAGCTTCTCTAGGGAGGCAGGAAGGCAGGTCCCAAGAAGGTAAGGAAGGGCAGGATTGCCTAGACCAGTTCATGGGGAGGGGAAGTCAGGGCAGGGGACGGGGATGGCGCTCCATGCAGACTGGCGATATTGGGGGACGTGCAGCTGGACATAGGGTTTTTGGGTACTGGATGCTGGTGGGAACTGGGCCAGGGTCCCAGAGGCGGGGGCTGGGGCAGGGCCAATGCCAGGACACTGGCTGTGGCACAGGTCCCAGTCCTCAAAGCAGGTGGTAAGTGCTACTGGAGCTGCTGCCACTCCATCCCGCACGCCCCTGGGCCTGTTCCGGGGAAGAGAGGTGGGTAACGTCCCCAATATGGCCTCCGTCCTGAGAGCGAGCAGAGAACAGCGCGTGCAGGCAGCCTCCAGAGCCGGTGGCCCCACGGACGACAACCTCTTCCACCGTTCCTATGCCTATGGCACTGCCCCGGCGTCCGAATCTACTTGCACTTTTCCCAGGAATAAGCAATGACTGGCAAGCAGCAGAGGGCGGGGCAGAGAAAGAGAAAGAGAGACACACAAATAATAGAGGGGAAGACACAGAGAGGTGAGACAGGAAAGGTGGACGACAGACAGGGGGAGAAAAGAAAACGAATGGTGTAGGAGTTAGAAAGCAGAGGGGGACAGAGGTGGGGAAGGGAAAGAGAAATGCACAGAAAGACAGAGGGCAGAGTGGGCAGGGAGAGAGATGGACAAATAGCCACACAGAGACAGGGACATGTGACAGAGCAAGTGGGCAAGAGTGTACCGGGTGGGCAGAGAGGGAAATCCAGAGAGACAGACAGAAATAAGACACAGAGACGGGCCCAGGTGAGGGTCAGAGACAGACGGAAATAAAGGGAGGCAAAAAGAAAAATGCAGGAGTGAGAACAGTAGAAAGGGGAGGAGAAGGAGCAAAAGGATGGTAGGAGAGGAAACCAGGTGGCAGAGGGCAGAGATGGGTCAAAAAGAAAGGAATGGGAGGAAGGGAAGAAAAAACAAGGAAAGAGAAGGAGGGGGGAGAGGCAACATGGAGATAGGGAGAGTTGTGCAAAAACAAAAACAGAAATGGGTCTGGTTACTGCCATGGTGGGTGCTGCTGGCCTGGCCCTGTCCCCGGGGCCCCTCTGCGGCCACCCACAAGAGGCTGGGTCACTCCAGTGGGGAGGAAGGGAGTAGTTGGTAAATCTGGGTTGGGTGGAAGTTGGGCCTGCTCCTCTGATGATAATGGGCTTGGTGACTGCCAATTGGACTTGGGGACAGCAGAAGCCCCACCTTGCTCCCCTGGCCAGGCCAGACCACGGGGCAGGGGTGAGGGTTCCCTCCTGCCATGTGACACAGCCTCATAGCACTGAACACAGAGATTGGCATGCAACAGACAGTCAGTAAAGGATGGATGGATGAATGAATGGATGAATGAATGGAAGAATGGAAGGATGAGGAGCAGAGTGGTGACTGCAGTGTCCTGGGGTGGCCACAAGGCGGTGGATAGCAGCTATGCCCACAACTGCAGGCCTTATTCATCTCCGTGCCCAGCACTACCCGAGTGTGAGCAGCAGAATCCCAGAGCCTGGAAGATAGCCAGTGATCACCCGGGAGGTGCTCACACAGCAGCCTGATTCCAGACACACAATAGGCAGCCACAACCACAGAGATCCCAGCTGCCGCAGACACACAGTAGGAGGTGCTCACAAGGAAGTGTCCACATAGCAGCTCACTTCCTGATACACAGTAGGTGTTCACCGATATATGAAGCTCAGCACACACTGTGTGCTCATACAGCATTCCATTTCCTGACACACAGTAGGTGTTCACCGATATATGAAGCTCAGCACACACTGTGTGCTCATACAGCATTCCATTTCCTGACACACAGTAGGTTCTCACATAGCAGCCCAGGGCACAGCACATAGTAGGTGCATACAAAGTTGATGCCCACACAGCAGCCCAGGACCCGACACATAGTAGGTGCTCATAGGAACTCAGGGCCAGGCCCACAGCAGATGCTCACAGAGTACACACCCACACAGCAGCCCAGGTTCTGACATACACGTGGTACCCACAGTCTGACACACAGCAGCTCTTCCCAGAAACTCAAAGCTTGACAGTAGGTGCCCACACAGCAGCCCAGGTCTCAGCACACAACGGTTAGGAGGTTCTCAATAAGGAATGTGACATAGAGGCTGCCCTAGAGGTGTCCTGCAGAAAGTTGTACCCCAAAACATAGGAGCCAGGAGGAGGGGAGGGCCCAGGAGCTAGAGAGGGGGTTGTAGGCTCTCAGTACCCCAGTATGCCCCCATGGAGAGCAATGGCTAGACTGAGCCCAGACCCCAGGATGGGTCATGGACAGCATGGCAACAGAGAGAGGTGGGCCAGGCCTCAGGAGGCAGGGGAGAGCTGAGGGCCCTGGGGGATGGATAGGGGACTATACAGAGGAGGGCACTCACTATTCCAGCAGCCTTGGCCAGGTCAGGGTTGTTGGGTGCAAAGCTCCCACTGTGGCTGGTGGACACAGTGCTGGGCTTCTTGTTGCTCAGCCCCATGGCGTCCATGGACTGGCTGCGGCTCCGGATGACCCGCTGTGAAGGGGAGGTGGGAGGAAAGAGGCACAGGATTCATAAGGTCCCACCCTCTTGGAGAAACCTAGGAGCCCAGGCATTTGGTCGCTTCCCTATCAATGCCATTCTAGGTGACCCCAGGAAGTCTCTTCCCCTCATAAGGTCTCAGTTTCCTTAACTGCCACATGACAGGCAGGTACACATGGGGCCTAAGAGTTTTTGGGGCCTTGGCTTTGCTACTAACTTGCTGGGTGGCCTTGGGCAAGCCACTTCACCTCTCTGAGCCTCCAAGCAACACAGGCTGAGTCTCTTCCTCATGTGGTTGTTATAAGGACTGCGGAAGATACTGGGTCATGAGCCAAAGTATGCACAGAGAGCCCCCAGAAACCTAAATCTCTTTCCTGTTAAGGGCCTCTTAGGGCTTTCTTCTTTCTTTTCTCCCCTCCTTTTCTTCCTTCCTTGCTTTTTTCAGACGAATCTATACCAAATGCTTGTTATGGGGCCAAGTGCTTTGCAAGCATTCTGTTGTTCAGTCTGTCCTACAAGGTGGAGACCAGCATCAGGCCCATTTCGCACATGATAAAACTGAGGCAGGGGTGAGCCTGGATCCCATATGACAAACTCCATGGCCTTAACCAGGGACTCTGCTGCCTTGGAGAAACCATTTGACCTAACCTAGGTCTACCAGATGTGGGACCTCAAAGAGGATACCCCTGACCTGTGTTGACCCCACCTGCTCCCTGTCTCCAGGGGCAAGGCTCTCTCCAAGCTTTTTTCTCAAAGAGTCTGTTCACCTTAGTTCCATGGTCCCAGCACAGGCATGGGCAGCTGGGCTAATCTCCTATGCAAACCCATCACTCTAGTTCTGTAAACTGCCCTGGCTGGGTGGAAGAGACGATGGCAAAGAAGCTACGGTGTAGGGCCTTGCAGCCTGAGTGAGTCCAGGCCCTGTGCAAGGAGAAAGAGTATGTCCCCTTCCTCCTCTTCTCACCTGGACAACGGTTGGCAGGGTTTTGCTCTTTGTTTTTTTACTTATATCGCACTAACCTGACTGCTTCACAAACAGTGATAATTGTATGAGGTAAGCTTCCATCATCCTACTCAACAGATGAAGACACTGAAGCTCAGGCAATGCCCAGGATGGTCAGTGGCAGAGCTGGGATTTGAACCCAGAGTCTGTGATCTCAAGGCTAAGCTAAACTAGGAACAGTCAGGCCAGGTCCCTCTCCAATGGTCGCTCAGTTCACACACCCCTTCTGAAACCTCTATTTCAGTCTTGGGGCCTCCTCTTCTCTTATCAGCCTCCCAACCAGGCAGCCACTATCCATTGTACCAGCAGCAGAATTGCCAGGTAAATTTCTAAGCTTAGGTCCCACCTCCAGCCACTAACTCCTCCCCAAGCCGCAGCCCTACCTTACACTCTACACCCAGCCTCAAATTCTACCCAAGGCCCAGGTGACGTCCCCAAGTCTAAGCACATCCTGACGCCTAAATTCACCCCAAGCCATCCCTCCAACCCCCTCCCACGTAAACCAACTCTAGCCACACCCCTGAGCCACCATTAGCCCCACCCACACGAGCTGACTCTAGCTATACTCTCACCTCTGCCCTCCCCCTTGTCCCTTAGCCCCACCCCAGCCCCGCCTCCCGCACAAGCCAATTCTAGCCACACCCCCGCGCTGTGTACAGTAGCCCCAGGCTCCACCAGGTAAACCTGGGGCCCTTCACCTTGAAAGACTCGAAGAAGCCACCCCCACCGCCGCCATTCTCCATCTTGTCCTCATCGCCGCCCAGCCCCATCATGGACTGGCTGTGGATATGCAGCTCCTCATAGAGCGTCTCCAGGAGGGCAGCTCGTGTCCGCTCCTGTGGGGCAGGCCAGGTAGTCAGGGGAGGCCCCACTGAGCAGCCCCCAGAGTTCGAATCCCGGCCACCTTCTGAGTGAGGGCCACCTGCTTTGGGTAAGCAGGAAGTGGGGAGAGCCCCTGCACCCGCTTTGCTCTGCCCAGCGCAGATCAAGGGTCCCCTCACAGCTCCTTCCAGATGCGGGTTCACATTCCCACCCCCCATCCCCCTCCTCCTCAGGGTATCTTCTGGCAGCCCGCCTACCTCTGACCCTCTCCTGGGCATTCCTCACTACCCCTGCAATGTCCTGACTCCCTCTTCCTGACCCAAGCCCTTCTCATCCACAAAACCATCCTCCCCCAGACAGCCCTCCCACGGCTAAGGGCCCACCCTCACCTCCAGTTTGGCAAACTTCTCTGCCTTGTAGCATGCATACTCAGCATTGATCAGTTTTGTCAGCAAAAATTCCTGGAACTCCGGCCCCTGGGAACCCCCAGTGTGGAGGAGAGGAGAAAGGGGGATCAGATGAATACAGAAACAAGGGGCAAAACCCCAATGGGTCAGGGGCTAGCAGTCCTGAGCCAGGCCCTGCTGTGGGTTACCCTCTTCACTCCCAGAAGAGCATCTCCCTGGGCTCAGCACCCCAGAGCCCTGTGCCCTTCATGGCCATCCATCCCCTACAGATGGTAGGGTCCAAGTGGGGGTCTCCTACTGCCTCTGTCTGGAGCAGCAGAATGTGTGGTGTATGGGGCTGAAGCCAAGGCTTGAAGTGTGGCTTCTGAGAGGTGAGAGAGATGTGTGCGCCCCCCTTTCAGACATTTTAGAGGAAAAGAAGACTGGAACCATCAAAAACAGAATAGAAAGAGGAAAGGCTAGTAGTCTGCTATAGAAAATGTAAAACAACGATGTAGTTTACTCTGCGACCTGGTTTTTTTAAAAAGTCACATTTTTTCTTTCTTTCTTTCTTTGGCAGTTTTTGGCAGGGGTTGGGCTTGAACCTGCCACCTCCAGCATATAGGGCTAGCTCCCTACTCCTTTGAGCCACAGGCACTGCCCAAAAAACGCCATATTTTTTAAGTGAACAGAAAAGCCAGGCCTCACTTGCACAGCTGGCGGGGGGGAAGGGGGGGGTGAGCGGCAGCTATTCTGACATGCAGTCAGGCCTCAGGACCTTAGAAGGTAGAATGTGTGTACCCCCCCCCCCGGGCCCCACCCATTTAGTCCTACTCTGTCCATGACCAGGGCTTGGGGGCTGCCTCTTACCTTCCTGAACACAGCAGGGTCTGGGAGGGGAGGCCCAAAGAAAGGCACGTCATCTCTTGCTGTGACGGACACCTAGAAGGGAAAGCAGCTGTCAGTCCCTATGAGGGCCATGGCCTGCTCTGCCCGTACCAGCAGAAACCCCTAATCCGCCTCCCTGCCCTGCCCTTTGTGGGGAGGCTCCATGGCTGCTGGTTGAATGAATCCTTTTTACAAGGATTTCTGCTGCTTCATCCTTTGCCCTGAGTTTGAGTGGTGAGGAGGGGAGGATGAAGGCTGAGGAGGCAAAAGGAGGTAGAGGAAGGTGTACCAGGCTTTGAAGTGGAGAAGAGTAATCAGCCTCTTTGAGGGGATGAGCTTTGGGAGCAGAGAGGATGCAATGAGAATCTCCCAAACATCAGAGCCCTCCACAGTCCCCTGAAGCCGAGAGAGGCACCCCAGTGAGGGTAGAGCTGTGGCCAGGGCTGTGCTGCTGCCCTGGGAGGCTCCTGGATCACCCACCTTGTAGAGGGGGCCGTCAGGACCCCCGCCCTCGGCCTGCACCACCACATAAGCATGCAGGAAGTTGGACGCGATCATGTCGGGCACGAAGGGCGTGTTCTCATCCTGGAAGACCACAGCTACTATGTCATTCCCGATGTGCCGCTTCCGCTGCAACTGAGCACAGAGCCGCCACGGCCTTCACGGTCTGGCCAGAGAGGGGCCCACTGGGAAGGGGGTGCCCACACAGGTTTGGGAGGGCTTAGGGTAGACAGAGGGCATGTCTAAGGATTTGCTTCCCTGTCCAAAAGTGCTAAAAAATGTAAAATTATTTGTTCTTAGCATCCTGTGATAGATGAGGAAACTGAGTCCAAGAGAGAAGGGAGCTGTAAGGTCCTGCAGTGAGCTAGGGGACTCGAGCCCAGGTCTTCTGGCCCCTAGGCCCTATCTCTTAGCCGTTCTCCTATCTAAATACCCCCAGAACAGCCCCTCATTGAACAAATAAGGTCTACTTGGTATACATTCATATTGCTAAAACGAACAGAGGCTCTTACTAAAATAAAATTAAAAGACACACAAAATAAGGAATTAATGCTTTAATTTTCTCACATTACCCTTTTAACCCCCTGGGCTGAGGACATGGGGTAAGGCAGACCACCTTACTCAGGAAGCTCAGGACAAGGTGGCAAGTTTCTGAGTTCAGTTCCCGGAATGTGTCCTGAACTTTCCTGACCCTGGGCCTTTGCAGAAGCTGTTCTCTCCACCTGGAACTGTCCCCCTTCCTTCTCCCAGCTCCTTCACAGCCTAAAAGTCCCTTTATCTTGAAATCTTTTCCTGACTCCCACTTCCCACCTCTGCCAAGACTCAGTATCCCCATACATCCCCACAATGCTCTTCATACCCCTAAAAGCCCCAGCTCACATCTAGAGAGTTCTTTCAATGTACCAGGTACTGTTCCAGTCACTCTGGGTCATCCACCCACGCTCACCTATGGGGTAGGTGCTATTATTATTCCAATGTCCCAGATGTAGAAACTGAGGCTTTCCTAGCATTGCAGTAGCCTATCTCCCTGCCCCAACTAGAGCCAAGAAGTGGGGGGATCATTTCTATCTCTGTATCCCAGGGCCCATCACTGAGCCCAGTGTGATGGACTCTGAGCACACACGTAAATGGCGGGGGGACAGGCAGAGGTGGGAAGCAGGCGGGTGGGTGCCCAGGCTACCTGCTGGGCGTCCCCTTCTGTGTAGGGCAGCTTGGTGGACACGTGAAACATGATCTCCTTGTTGCGGAAGTTGCAGTACACAGATTCAGTCCCTGTCTGCCCGTGGGTCACGTCTAGGCCTCCTCGGAACCTGCTCCCAGACCCCCCCAGGCCACAGCTTAGTCTCCAGCCCCAGCCAGGCCTCCAAGGGGCCAGGATGAGGGCTCCCTCCCTGCCCAGGGGCATAGATCAGATTACACTCTGCTTACTCCACTCTTATACTCACCCCTTGAAGTCCTGCAGTTTGACTTTCTGGCCAAGAAATTCGAGGAACTCCACGAAGGCGGGACTTTCCTCATTAGTGCTGAAGAGTTCTTCCTCAGAGGTCTGGGGACCACATAAAAGGGCCACGATCATTGAGCTGGAGCTTCTGAGCATCCCCTGCCCTCCTGTCCCCACTCATATCCACAGAGGGCCAGAGGGAAGACCCATGGCAGCCCTGGGTTCCTGAGTCCCTTGGTGGGTGCTCTCCTGGTGACAGTCCCGGATACAAGGCTGAGTGGGATAGGGCAGCAGGGAGGAAGAGGGGACCACACCTGGCCGAGTTTCTGATAAATGACTCCAAATTTGAAGTTATTGCTGATAACATGCTCGTCAAAGGTGACAATGAGCCGGGAAGCCTGCAGGAGAGGATAGAGGGTTAAAGAGAGTACTACAAGTTGCCCTCATGTGCCAAGCCTTGGGCCAGGCTCTCTGCCGGCATCATCTCAGGTAATTCTCAAAACAGCCTGGGGTGGGGAGAGCCACTCCAGCTGGCCTCTCCGAACCTTGGTTTCACAGAACTTGAGCAACTTGCCTGCAGTAGATGGCTTGGGGGCATGTGTGGAGTTGGAGCCTGACGCCACGTCTGTAGGATCCCAAAACTTAAGTTCACTGCTTCTGAGTTTTCCTGCGAGCCCTGACTGCCATGGCCAAGTCCACCCCACTCTACTCTGTAATACTCAGGTCACCCCTTAGCTCCTTTATAATCCCACCTCATCCTTCTAGAGCAGGGGTCCTCAAACTTTATAAACAGGGGGCCAGTTCACTGTCCCTCAGACTGCTGGAGGGCCAGACTGCGGGCCCCCGGGACGAGTCGGCTGCTAAGCGGGACAGGCAGTGGTGGCAAAAACACCTGGCAGGCCGGATAAATGTCCTCGGCAGGCGGCAGTTTGAGGACACCTGTTCTAGAGGAAGCCAAGTCCACCAGTTTGCCATGGGACAGTGAGCAAGTTCTGCTCCTCATCTTGGGCCTCAGGTTCCTCTTCTGTGACTAGGAGGCAAGACCTGACTACTGAGGCCCTTTCCTTCAGGACATCTTTCCTGGACAACTCCATCCCTAGGGAGCTTACACTGCTCCAGAATTCAGTCAGGGCCACTAGGGTTACATGCCTTTCTTCATTCAGGAAGTCCCCCTGGCTCATTGAAGATAGAAGCCCCAATTTCCCCCTTGTCACAGTGTCTGGAACCCAGCAGCCAGCACCCAAACTGGGAATGTAGTTGCTGACCATGAAGCAGCATTTATTTATAGGGCTGTCTAGACTGTTCTCTCTCCCCAGGTCACCTCTGAGACCAGAAAGCAAGGCCAGTGGAAAAGAGACCCAGCCTGGGGGAGGACTGAAGTATAAGTGGCTTTTAGGAGGGTCCCCACACAGCACTGAGAGTTTCCAGACCTGAGTAAGGCCTGCCTCCAAAGCAGACTGGTTTAAATGCAGGCCTCCTTGTCTGCTGTGCACCTTGGGTAAGGCACAGAACTTTCCTGCGATTCCTGTTTGCAAACTGTGGACTTCACAGGCTTATTTTGAGGGGAAATAAGAGATAATTTTAAATAAGAGAACTTGGGGGAAATACCCTGCATATAAAAGGTACCCAATAAATGATCAGTCATCTAGTTACCCACCCACCCTCAGTGAGCATGACCTAGATCCAGTCTTACCTTCGGGTAGAGCACAGGATAGAACC